ACAGGTTGAACGGTATATGTGGCTCTGCGTTACAGCGACTCCTGGACTCGAAAACATGATTACTATTCCTGGGTCCGAACCACTTCTTGTCGAGGCCGCCTATCAACTCATGAAGGACACGCAGCGGCATGCGGTGTGCCATCTGGCCAACCATTCGGATTTGAACTGCATCGGCCGTGGAACGCATGGTGAACTGGCTGCGGCCCTGCTGATCGTGCAGACATACGACGCGGCACGGATAATTAGCGGTCAAAGATGGGTGTCTGTTCCACTGGACCAGTAACATTCGTGCCTGTACGGTAGCATCGATCCCAACCTGGATGTGTCAGGAAGTCATGGAAAGCAAGACCTTTACTGTAACTCGGACGCAAGGTGCACGGTTGGGTTTATATATCCCATCGTAACCCTTCCCTGATTTTCCAGCAGGCAGCAAGATGTCTGTCGCCGGCTCTAAGGATTAGCTGTAAAGGGTTCATGCAAACCTGAGCGAAGTATGCGTCTTCAGAGAGCTTGTATGTTGTGCATGTCATGGAGTGGTGGCTCTGATGCGCCGCTGCAAGAATCTAGTTGACAGTTAAATCGTTAGCCGAGAGCGGTCTTCGTCCATCAGATGCGGAATCTATGTTGTCTATGTTAAATCTGGGCCGATATCCATTGAGCCGTGGCATAGCATTCAAGCTGTGCCACTCTTCGCCATCGCCCTTTGAATGCTCAATGGCGGGTGTCGGAGGAAACACGAAGCTTGAAGAAACGCCATACAAGATGTGAGGGGCATGCTAGTACTGCCTACTGCCAGGATCGCCGCGGCGGACGAAACAATGCTACGATGTGAGGGAAGAGAAGTATTCAACGTGGTGCCAGGCCCGCACATATGACTTTAGACACTTCAGCTACAGGAGGTGAGGGGGCGCACGGCATCATATATGATATAGCATTGGCTCCAGGAACGACTCGAAGAGCATCATCCTGAGTTGAACTGCCAGAAGCAGCCTCAAGCTGAGCAGAGGCCGCTGGGAGAGGCTTCCCATTGCGTTTTCCGAAGGAAAGGCTGCTAAAGCAATGGTGGAAAAGTTGATCAATAGGTGAATTCCACTCACTTGGAATGGTTGCACGACAGAGAGCCTTAGGCCTCGGAGCACAGCTTAAGCTGAATGTACTATATGGACCTTCGGCTCCAGCCGACCCAGGGGAGGCACGCTCACGACTTACCAAAGGTGAATATCATGACCTTCCTGCAAGTCCTCGCTAATCTGATGAACGTAGAAATCTAGTCCCACCGAAACAAAGCCGAGTCGACATCAAGCAATGTAGAAGAGCCGTTCGCGACCTCTCAAAAGCCCTCTAGCTACGGAGTGATGTTTCTACCTCACCAACATTCTGTGCTCTTGAACATTGACTCGATGTGGAGTGGACACCACAAATGGATTCACTCCTCAGCATATGCATAAACAGCGACGTGGGATAGTGATTTTGGCAACCCCCCATCGTTGATGCGTGAATGTCCAATTCCACTCCGATAGATGATCAAGTTATATGGCAAGCACACAAGGGTTATGTTAGGCAGGGATAAAAGCAGGGACTTAGCACTAAGGACAATGAGAATTCCTATAAACGGGTACGCTTGAGAGGATATCGACTCTCAAACAAGTTTCTCAGTGAGCGTCGCAGAGGTTTCCCGGTGCCATTCTCAGGTATCTAGGATCATGGGGAGATATAAGATCGGGATCGATGCCACCGCCATTCCTTCAGAAAGCGCAATGAAGAACTCACTGCATCAACAAACTGAATCCCGCCCACTAACCACTTAGGTTTACTTAGCCCCGCACACACAGCAGCATCAATCATCTCTACGCATTTCTCCTCACCGATTCGCCTTCCTTCACCAGACAACACGACGAAAGCACGCGGAACTAGCTCCTCAGTCTCAGCAGATAACCTCCGCAGTCTGTCCAGATGCGTAAGGCGTGGCAGAGGGGATGCCAAAACTGAAGAGGCGTTAACTCCTACGACTGAAACTTCGCTGACGAACTTCTGGCAACGTCTATGAATAGCTTCTTCAATTTCGCCGGGAGTGACCTGTGTTCCTAATATCTTCATGACATCCTAGTGTGAAGAGAGTAGGCGTGCATGAGGAAAAAAATTAAAGGATTCATAACAAACCTTGAGTCGATCCACGAACCACAGGTTCCCATCCTGATCGGCGATAAACTTGTTATATTGAAAGGGGAGTCATTGGGTATATGCATTGGCCCAATTGATGAGTCAAGGCTCACACAGTCACCAGTTCTAAGCCAATCACTTCCCTCAGCGCCAGGTACACTGACACCAAAGGTGTCCCTCGTTGCAGTCTCGTTCATCCAATACCCCAAGGCCACATTCGGTCCACGAAGGTACAACTCTCCGATCGAGAACCCCTCCGGTAGGCCACCGTGCCCATCGGACTCTGATTTGACATCGTCTTGATAAAGAGTGGCCTCCATATTAGCTCCTAGTACCATGGCACAATCCCGGTGGAGCTAATTTTGGAGGTGTGAGTGATGGGCCAGCAATTGCAATCGTCTGTACCCCAAGGATGAATATGTTGGTGGAACCGAAGTCAATGCAAATCACCTACAGCTTCCGTAGCCCCGAAGAACTTGTTGGGGCTCTATCAATACGAGAACGCCAAGAGTTGCAGTGGAGGAGACTGACAGATTTAACTGGAGGTAGACCTGTGACGTGAGTATCACTCGCGGGTCCGCATGAGACCTCCTGCAATTGTGCCAAGAGTTGTGGCGACAGAGCAGCAGAAGCTGAGGTAATTCCGGGCATGTTCCGAAGGGCTTCCCGAAAAATATTTGGTTCGACCCCTTTTAACAATGGTGAGTTAACCAACTGCCTGATCATCGTTGGTACTAGCGAAGCCGCTTGGATTTTGTACCTAAGTACCGCGTATTAAATATGTAGCAGAGCTGTAGCTTCACCCACTTTTGTATAGCTTTTAGAGCCGCCTCGACCTCCCACCGCGGAAGGATCACACAGGTGTTAACTACACAGTGGTTCCTATCGCCAAACAGATTGATTCCATCCCAGCTTTTATGAGATATTAAATCGTACCTCAAACAACTGGTGAAGAAACCTTGCGTGTGATACATCGGAATCGCAGTCAACCTCATCATTTGCTGTGGTAGGGGCACACCCGCACTCTTGAGCAACGCTCGCACATGAGCGGAAGCCTGAAAGATAGCCGAGATACTGTAACTTTCACTTTAAACAAGGCTCCAAAAGTGATGCACGAATGGAACCAACAAGTTACCATGGGAAATCATGACGGCCTTTGGCATCCCGCTAGTACCACTAGAGAAAAGCATGCACTGGTGCTACGTCAGCACCACTTCAGATCCACAATAGTGCTTCGCTCACGGCTAGATCGCTTCTCTTAACCTTGCACATGGGCGAAGTATCCATATCCCTTGTATCAGCGAGCAAAGTATCCAAATCTCGTCCACCATTTAGGTCAACTATTCCTCTCAATGACTTGCCATCCCTAACGGTGCTTCTGATTCTAGCAAAGGTCCTGGTGTACCTGAGAGACTCTATATGACTGGTGAGAGTCTGTCCGGATATGAAAATCCGAGATGGTGTGACTGAGTCGATCGCATGGACAAGCTCTTCCTTTGTCGCATGGATATTCATCAGAACGCAGGGGATGCCAGAATAGAAGCAAGCATGGGCAATAATGCTGAAATCCTATGAAAATAAAGTCAAAAGCGATGATCGGCTGGGCGCAAGTGCCGTTCGGTATCGCCTCGCGCAAACTCAACCTGCTTACCATGTGGTTTTCGGAGAGTATACAGACTCGTTCATTCCTAGTCAGTCCCAATCCTCCGTCGGCCTGCCTGCCTACGAGTGCAGTGGCAAGCCTCTTGACTCGATCGATATGCTGACCGCGTGTCCGAGAGGTGCTTGTGTGTGTTGGAGGAACCGTGTGCTATGGGAGGCCGGACGAGTTTTCGTACAGCCACATTCCCACATCCGAGCGAGGAACTCGCCCGGACAGCCACATTCCCGCGGTAGCGTGACTACTTGGTCACAACACCTTTTTCTTGGTCACTTCGGACTTATCCGCGAAGTCCACAAACTATATTCAATCTTTTGAATTAGTTTCCCTTTTCCTCAGTTCTCGCGCATATAGTGAGACTGAGGTTAGTTATCTTTCTTTCTTTCTTATATCTTATAACTCATTGTATATTACCTTATAGCTTTACTACTAGGTAATATAATAGTTCTCGCGCATATAGTGAGACTGAGCTTTACTACTAGAGCAAGCGGTTATTCCGTTAGTGTGGGCATGGATGTACACGATCTGTGAGTCAGGGACACTTATCACGGGAGAACTATCAAATAACAATTGATACACGTTGTCCACATTGTGATCTTCGTAGCGCAAAGGCGACCGGTAAACCCTCAGACTACTCATCTTTTAAAAAAAGGTGGTGAGGATGAAGCGAGGACAAGGAAAGCTTACAGGGGCCTACCGGCTTTAAAAGAGCTCTGGGGGCTTCTGGCCGCTAGTAATATGATAATCTCAGGATATTAGAGCAAGCCAAAAAAAAAATCGGCGCGTCCGATTTGGGTGCATCATTTATTTGCTGCCTTTTCTTTTGGAAGATCACATGACCCGCACGGACATTCATCCAAATCGCTTGCTTTACTAGAAAGGTTGCTTCGCAACCATGACCTTGCTTGCACATCATTGCTCAATGCTGATCACGAGCCAGTTATTGGAATTGGCTTTAGTCATTTAATTCCTTGACACTCCATCCGTCAAGCACCCACTCAGTTGACATTTTCTTTGTAGTTAACAGTAGGGCTCCTAGCGGATCGGATCAGTCCGGATCCGGATCAGAATCCGCAGATTTTTAGAGGTCTGAAACAAAAACCGTATCCGGCGGTTAGAAATCCGCGGATATGCGGATCAACCGCGGATTATAAATAATACGTTCCAAAATTATATTTTGTTAGAACGGCCCTGATGAGAGCTTTCTAACAATACCAAATATGTCCATATTGGTGGAGAACTGACAGAGATATGGGGAAAATGGCACAAAAGATGGGTGTCAGATGCCAAATTTGGAAATAACGGGCCTGGGTGGTTAGATAGGACTTGAAAAAATTGAGAGAAAATATGGAAACATAGGAGGGGTATCTAGGAAAGTGGGATATATTTAATCCACAGATAATCCGCCTATCTGCGGACTAGAAACCGCAGATATTATCCTCTCACAAGCCACAGTAGAGTAGGAGTTACAGTAAATATGGGGAATTTCACCCTTATTTGCCTCAGATCTCCTGCATATCTGCAAGAAATAAATCATGTGATAAAACTGCGGATAATCCGCAAATCTGCGGATTAAAAACCGCGGATATTTTCCTCTGAAAATCCAAAACCGGATCCGTGAATTTCCGGATGCGGTTGCGGATATCTGCAGATCATCCGATCCGCTAGGAGCCCTAGTTAACAGACATAATGAGCACTATGAGTTGAATCGAGGATGGTCTGAAACGATAAAAAGTATAAAGGGTTGGCAGAGGGGGAATGCACCGTCCCTTACTCCTGCCTTCGGTACTTAACCAGAGAGAAAGTGGTCCAGAGAAGTGTCGTTTGGAAGGCGAGCCACCTTCTACACGGTTACTAAGGAGGGGAGCTGGGTCTCTAAACACTATGATCTCCTCCACATGTGCGGAGTATGTTGTCCTCTTCTCAGTGCCTATCAAGTGACATGCTGGTGACATCAATATAAGACGAAATGATGGACTAGCGATGTTGTCGCTCAGTCCCGTTGTACGTGAACTGAGGAAAGGTTGGGTTGTCCAAAAATTGGGGTTTTATAGTCAGACGCTATGAATGTGCACTGACTTTGGCATGGACGCCACCAAGAAAGGCAATAGGTGTAAATCTAAATGCCACACGACTCAACATCACCAAACATGAGTTGGTCATAGCGAACACCATAATACCAAGAATTCTAACACGCCCACTCGCTAGATCTACTCATGTAATCCCATCGCAGTACGGAACTTTGAATGTTTTTCATGCGCCAGAGCCTTTGTAAGGACGTCGGCTACTTGGTCGTTCATCGAAATGTAATCGAGTGTGATGTCGTTGTGTTCAACGTGTTCGCAAATAAAATGATGTCGAACGCCAATGTGTTTCGTATGAGCGTGGAAGGTGGGATTTGACGCCAGTGCGATAGCGCCCTGATTATCGACGAGTAAGGAGGTGGAATGGGCGAGAGGGAAGTGTATGTCACGAAGGAACTGTTGGATCCAAAGTGCTTCTTTAGTAGCATGAGTCATTGCCATGTACTCGCCTTCTGTACTCGAGAGCGCAATAGATGTCTGCTTCTTCGAGCTCCAGCTAATAGCTGCACCAGCCATTATAAAAACGAAACCAGACACGGAACGAAAGTCTCTTGGGTCTCCAGCCCAATCCGAATCGGAATATCCAGTGTGATCGTCGTATTTTGACTTTCCGTTGTAGACCAATTTGTAGTCTTTGGTGGTGTTGAGATAGCGAAGAAGTCGATTGATGGTGATCCAATGTTCTTCCCCTGGATTTGATGAGTACTGACTCAGTGTGGTGACGGCGTAGCCAATGTCTGGTCGGGTACCGAGCATCGCGTACATAATGGAGCCTATTTGTGATTGGTACTCGCGGGTGTTGATCTCAGGATCGGGTTGATCATGGCGAAGGAGTTTAAGGTTAGGGGTCATGGGAGTTGAAATACTGCGAGAATTAGTAAAGCCAAATCTTTCGACAACGTCAGACACGTATCGTGATTGGGAAACGGTAATTAAGCGCCGTGCGCGATCGCGAGTAATCTCCAGTCCAAGAAACCAATGAATTTCGCCCAAGTCTTTCATTTTGAATGCAGAACGCAGCTGCCTCTTCTTCTTTCGAAGTAAGTTGAGATCATTTGAAGCGATGAGGAGGTCGTCGACATATAAAGCGACGATGCAGAATTTGGTGTGGGAGGAATAAATGAATACTGCGTGGTCGGATTCACAGCACGTGAAGTAGAGTTTGTTGAGTTTGGCTTTTGCCTTCTTGTACCAGGCGCGTGACGCCTGTTTGAGTCCGTAGAGGCTCTTCTGCAACTTCCACACAATATTGGGCCACCCATAATCATCGCATCCAGGAGGGGGATCCATGTAGATTTCGTGCTCTAGATCGCCATTGAGGAAGGCGGTTTTTACATCCATTTGATGAAGTTCGAGATCGAGATGGGTGGATAGGGCTAGGAGTATTCGAATGGAGGTCCATTTGACCACAGGTGCGAAGGTCTCGTCATAATCGATCGCGTGGACCTGACTAAAACCTTTTGCAACCACACGCGCTTTATAGTGCTCCACTTCTCCGTTAGCATTTCTCTTTATCGCAAATACCCATCTCGAACCAACCACATTCTGAGCATCGACGTCTCGCTTTCGCACTGAGACGTAAGTTCCCGTCTCCCTTAATGCTGATAATTCTTCCACACAAGCCTCGAGCCATGAACCCGCGTCGTGACGGTCCATCGCCTGTTTGTAAGTCTGTGGTATTTCCACATTCGTGTTTAACGCCCAACTAACGCCCACTGTTTCAGGGGCTCTCGTTGAACGATTGTAAGAAGAAACGGAGTATCGAGTGTCGTCGTCAGGGATGGGGGCACGATGGATACGTCCTGAGCGTCATGGTTCAGGGGGCCTGGATTCAGGTTTAACAGGTATGTCTCCTCCATCTACCTTCTCCTCGTCATCGCTCTCACTTCCCCTTTCCTCTCGATCTTCGTGATCACCATCACCATCACCGTCACCATCTTCATCTCCCATTTCCCTAACCTCTCCTTCATCACTCTTCATGGGGACAACGATGTGCGTTGGGGAATCTTGTGATTCAACCTCAATCGTCACCCGCTCCGATTCTCCATCTCTTCCTTCAAAAAAATGAACGTCCCTGGACTCGTGGAGTTTACGAGTCTTGGGATCGAAGACAACAAAGGCCTTCTTGCCTTGCGCCATGCCAAGATGAATTCCAAGAATTGAACAATTATCGAGTTTTCGACGAAGATTGCGGTGGATGTGGAGGGTGGCTTTACAGCCAAAGGTATGTATCATGGTGACACTTGGCTTATTGCCAGTGTACTGTTCGTAGGGGGAGAGATCATGAGGAAGTGCGGAGTGGGGGGATACGTTTTTGATTAGTGCCGCATGTCGCAGCGTGTACGGCCAAGCAGTGTGGTCGACTTTCGACTCGAGCATAGCGATAGTCATGGTGACTAGAGTCCAGTTGACTCTCTCAGCTACGCCGTTCTCCTGCGGTGTTCGCGGATTTGTACGCTCATGAACGATTCCGATTCCTTTTAGATACGACGAGAACTCATCCGAGAAATATTCGCCACCACCATCAGTACGGAGGATCTTGAGTTTAGACCCCGTCTGGCATTCCGCTTCGGCAAGATACTCTTTGAATCTGTTGAGCGTGTTGGACTTCTTCTTCATCGGGTAAACGGTAAGATAGCGGCTGAAGTCGTCAACGAAGGTGATGAAATACTTAAAGCCTTCTCGCATTACAGTTTTGGTCTCGCATACGTCGGAGAAAACTCTGCCAAGGACTTGATCGGTGCGAGTATGAGTTTCGGAAGGGATAGGATTACGATGGTGTGAGGACGCCTCGCATTCTGCGCAATATTTTGGTTCGTCCTGTGTTTCACTCCCAATCAGATCCATGCCCTTTACCATTCCGCTTCTGATCATTTTGAGGATAGATTCCTTCGAGATATGACCAAGGCATTTGTGCCACACATCCAATGATGCGCTGGCGGTAATCAATCGTGTGATATTGGAGGAGTAGGAGTTGGCGGCGTGGGAGGAGGTGATATAAGCCTTCTCCAAGGCTATGACCGTAACAGGTAATCGGTACAAACCGTTCTCGGCGTTGGCAACAGCAATGAGCTGGTCCGCTGAGTCAAAGATCTCACACTTTCCGCTTAGGAATGTTGCATATGTGCCGGATGAATTGAGTTGGATGATGGATAAAAGGTTATGGGCGATCTTCGGGCAATAGAGGACATTGCGAATGATGGTGTTTCCAGGTGAGTTTCCAGTAAGAAAAGTCACTTTCACCTGTCCAATGCCCAGCGCTAAAATTACCTTTTTGTTACCTAGGACGATTTTTTGAGGAGGATCAAGGAGACGATAGGAGATGAACCACTCGCGATTACCACATAAGTGCGCGGTGGCTCCAGAATCAACTATCCACTCGGAGCGTCGACATTCATTACCAGTGAGTGTTGCACTTAGTAAGTCTGAAGCTCTGGCGACTAAGACTTTGTCTTTTTCATCAGGAGAGGTTGCGACTTTGGCCGACTCCTTCGGCATCGTCGACTTTGACTTGCCCTTCCCCCTTCCGCATCTCGATCTCTTCCCTTCCAACCAACATTGTTCTATCGTATGACCTAGTGCTCCACACTTAGGATTCGAGCAACAAACCACCGGTTTGGAAGTATTCGTTGTCGAGCCACTTGACTTTTTCTTTTCGCAACGGCCAGACTTTCCACCGTTGGTGAACATGGTGGCGATCTGAAAGGTTGCTTACTATTTTGGGGACGGTA